CCGCTCTGGCGCTACATTCTCGGCCGCACCGCAGATGAACGGGGAACCGGACGTTAGATCGAGGTTCGGAGAAATTCGTCCCAAGAAGCTCGTAGGTCTTGATAGGATTGTTGCAGGGCTCGGAATCCGCCGGAAATGTTTTCGAGATTCTCATTCAATGTCGCATGCTTTAGTCGAAGGACACATCAGAAAGTTGAACGGTCAGACAAAAGATCTCAATCGGAAGCTCCCACGAGCCAGCGGCGGCTGTCGTTGAACTGACGGCGGTCGCAATGATTGACGAACAATGATCACATCGAGTACAAAAGCAGTCTAGGCTCGGGAGGACGATCAACCGACTCAAACACTCGAGTAAGTTACCATGAAGTTCCTCATCGTCACCGCTTTGGTGGCCGCTAGCTCCGCTGCCATGGTCAGGTCCGCCGGATTGAGGCAGTCACCGGAGAGTGTGGAAGCCATGCTGAGACGAGCGCCCGACGACCTCCAGGCCATGGTGAGGAGCAGTCTCGAGGCTTCGTTGAGGAACTCCGACAGAGTCCATTCCGCTGGCTTGAGGGATATGCCGGACAGTCTCCAGGCCTGGTACGATTTCAACGGGAAGTTCGACTGTGTCGTCGACTCCATCGACAAGAACTCCCAGGAAATCAGGGCTGCGAGCAAGAAGATTGTGAGCATCCTGAAGAAACACCCTGCTCTCGAGACCATTCTCAGAGATTTCGAAGCGATCGATCAAGAAGTCGACAAGATCATCGCTGATTTGAAGGAGGAAATCGAAGACGTCAGCTGGGCGCGTCTCCCCGGAAAGATCTACGACAACGCGAAACGTATCATTGCGATCACCGGTAGATCCGTAGCTGTAGCCGCCAAGATCCAACTCCTCCCTGCCCAGGCTGCGATTCCCGCCGAGGAGAGTCTCGACATTGTTTCTGAACTCGCCCACAACATGGATGAGTTCATTGATGTCGTCAAGAAGGTGTCGTCCGACGCAGGCGATTGCATCACCAATTAGTCGAATAAAATGATTCCATAATTCGTCAATGTCAGATGCTTTTCATCCCGATCCTCTGTGACCTGGACTTCTACCACGTGAATGGTCTCAAATCGGTGACGGAAAGATTTCGATATGCCTCAGTCAAAGGGCACTGAATTTTACCCTCCCCATGAGTCTCTCCATCGAACCCCTCTCTGAAACGAGGGCAAGGTCTTGAACGCCAACCCCCATCATACCGCGCAAGACCCGCGCCTGTGCTCGCGGTGAGTATCCTAAATCTTTCTGTCAATTATGTGGAGCGAGGAGCCACCCGTTTACACACAGGCCTGGAATTACCCGAAGAGAGTGAAGGAATCAGAGTCAAACCCGCCGTGACCCTGGCCTCTACTTCCTGTTCTCAGACGGTCCTTGCCAGCGATGTCTTCATCCAGGGGCTTTATTTCTCAGAAAGACACTCCCGTTGGTAATTATGGAACTCGGCGAGCTCCGTCAAGAATTCCCGGGAGCTCTAGGACAGGGTGCATTCGAAACGCTCGGTATCCGATTCCCCCCCCCGAAACTAGCAAGGACGGGAAAGACATTTCTTGAGGATTGATTATTCCCCGTCTATTCCTGCGACTCCAGACCTCGCCTGCGCATCCATCGGATGGAAAATCGGGTCTGATATGAAGCATCCTTCTTCGATCACTCGTCATCCGAGCGTTATGATACCCTCGTTATTCGACCCGCTCAGAATGATATCGGGCACGAGCTCTTAATCCGTTTGAGCACGGATGCGTGCTCTGTACTTGTGGGGGCAGATCTTTTCGAGGATTACCCCGCAAGCCCAGCGACATCATTGCGGTGCCACCCACTCCGTGATCTTCATCGTCCATAATGTTGATCACTCTGGAAGCAGAGATGTCGCTGCTGGAAGGGTGCGCAGGAAAGAGAATTATTCGTCTTCTCCTCTCCAGCTCTTCTCATTTTCTGCGAGTGACAGCCGGAAAACTTATCATTGGCAAGGCTTAGACTGTCGGGGTCCTGGGGTTTCGACGACCTGTGTACTCTCGGCGTGATTTGACCATGCATTCTGTATTCACGCATGCATCGCATTGCCGCACGTCGGCGTCATCTGGTATGTTACACGCTCGAGCGGGGTCGGCTCTATGACACCGTCTCTATACAGAACTCTACACACGCCGAGCGGACGTGTTGCCCACTCGACCACCGAACGGTCCGAGCTTAATTCACTGGTTCTGTAGTCGGGCCATAATACGAAACGACCCTTGTTGATCATGGTGAGAGTCTCATCAACCGACCTATTCATTTCATCCGGCTCCCGACCGCGTTCCCACGCAGGCGAGCACGAGAGCTGCTCGCGAGCATAGGCTCTCGATCACTTATGACAGAGTTCCTATCAACTGATGCCATCGTCGCCTCGCGTCTATCGGAAGGAATAGCACGAGAGGAGCTTGGTACGCGACATCGATGGAAATCAGTTGTTCACGTCAACCGTCTCGTGGATTAGCACTGCGCCGAGCGCGATGCCTTCATATCTGGCTGGGTCTCACAACCAGCATAAATTGCACATCATAGGCCATGTCCATAATTCACGGTAAACGTGACCTAAACGACAGGCACGTTGCAATGAGTGTTGAGCCTGAACAGATTCGTGGGATGGGATGGAGAAGTCAAACTATTCGATTACGAAATAATGCCTCGCGATTATTTCTACAATACGATTCCCTTCCAGTTATCACTCGTTCCCCGAGGTCGCCTTCCACGGGAGATATAGGTCTGGAGAAACATGAACAGGCAGGACAACACCAGGTAGGAGGGTCGTCACCTAATACATCTGATGGATTCTCGAAAATGGCTCCTTTGTCTGCATTGAGCCAGAACTCCTCAGTCACGGAAAAACTCTGTGGGCACAGAACTTCGGTGATTCATCAACTACGTGCGCATGGGGGCTTGAAGGGTCAGAGCCTCGGTGGAGCTCGTCGAAATCGATCAAGAGGGTTTTCCAGTGGTTCATTTTCTCGGGCTCCCGGATGTCCGATGAGGCTGAATGAATTAAGAGTCTCCTTAACGTTATCGAGCTTGGCGGCTATAGTCTGGCTGCGAGGAATCCTCTAACTGGGAGCCGCGAGCCCCATCTGGGTGGAGCTCGACGAATTTATATCGTATCGCAGGATTCGTATGGCGGCTGCATAAAAGCCCTATCGTGTCCCCATCAGCACCTGTCTTCAATCAAGTGAATTCTGTTAAGCCTTCACGTCGTAAGCATCTACGGCAGCAAAAGATAGATCGAAATTGTAGATTTATTTGTTTCGGAAGTTCTCCTTGATGAGAGATTCGTAGGCGTGGTGTCACTAAAACGCACGTCGGGATCTGGATTGGTACGGGAAATAATTCGAGGTTTATTTGCAGACGATCGAGTGCGGGGAGCTGTGGGATACCAGGGAGCACTACGAGGGTCGGCGAACAGCTTTCGGCTCTCCAGCTCGAGCACCCTGAGAAGTCAGAGGATGAGGTACGAAATGGGACTTTGTACGAACTTCATCTTATCAGCCCGAAATTTTGAGGCCGAGCTGTCTCGATTGAGCCTCCTCGTGGAAGTGGTCGAGCCCGTCGTCGAATCCGGTCGGTGGAGGTGTCAACGAGGGTCTCCATTGCAGGACCTAAATGATATCGATCTGAAAGACCCAGAACTGGAGAAAGCAGCCATCAAAATCCAATCGACGTTCAAAGGCTTCCAGTCACGCAAGAAAAAAATCGGCAACTGACTCTGGAGGCTCCATAGAGTTCTTCGCACTCCTTCCGTCCGAACGCTGGACGCCTCCAATGAGCCACAACAAAAGCATCGCCACAGCGACCGATATTCGTGGTGTCCTTTGAGCCAACGCTCCGGCACTGGAGAAGAAATCCGGACTGAGTTTCTCGATTGCTTCGCTTAAAAACGATGCTCTACAGCGTGCTCACATTTTAGGCTGCGTATCAGAATATGCTTCTTCCTGGTTTAGCGATCGTGGTGTATCTCGAGGTCGGTCGACTTCGCGTGGACGGGATGTGCTGCGGGTGGAATATCTGGAAAATCCTGTTTCAGAGAAGCTATGTTCAGGCTGCTCGAAATAAGTTTGCAAGCTGCAATGACGAGCAGCATAGCGCTCGTGGCCATCTATTCACTCAAGTTTCTGCAGTCTGATTCCAGAGCAATACGCCGATTGTTTCCCCCCTAGTACCCTCATAGCTTCGCATACCAATAATTATAAGCGGTGAATAAAAATTTGGGGCTTGACGGTTCGAGCACTCTGAAGTCACTGAATTCTCTTGTGGTCGGACCCGACCGCAGCGGCGGCAGGCTATAGCCCCTCCCCAGATTGGAGTGTAGCAATTCTGATGATGGGGATGCATGCTCCTCCGGAGATCATACATATGTTCATTTCAGGCGCGTATCAAGGATTTTTTTCGGGGGGAGGCACACGATGACTGCGGCCCCAAAAACTCAGGAATCGGTTCCAGAAGGCGACAGAGGTAGTATGAAACAAACATTTTTGGGAGGGGCATTAGCCCCCAGCGCCCCCCTCCTGAATACAGTTCCTTGGGGAACGCTCAGTGTGTCCCGCTGATCCTCTGGCTCTGGGGAATCCATGCATCTGTTTCTTCTTTTGAAGACTCTAATGTTCGCTGGTTTGCGACAAGGGCTGCGGGAGCGAGAGCCTTGGCAAGCGTTAGTGCGACACGTCTACGGTGATCATAAACATTTAGAGGACTGTTTCAAATCGGAGGCTGGGAATCGCGGTTTTTCGAACGCTGCGGGCCAGAATCTCGCTCCCGGGCAAATCCTCACAGGTCATAGCCGTTGATTCAATTTTTGTAATTATTGTAAGTATCGCGTCGAGCGAGCGAGCTCCGTTTCGGGAAGCCTGGAGAATTCATAGGAAAAGCGACTTCACCCAAGTAGATTGCCGGTTGCGATTGAGTCGAGCGACAGCTCATAGTTAATTCAGAGGACTGATCTTGACGGTTATTTCTTGGGCAACTGCGGTAAATGATACCAGGATCACTTTATTATCGGTTGGTAAAATTTGTATGAGTGTTGTAGGGCAACGATCTACAAGAGGAACTTTTCTCAACACGATCCTTCAAGGAGATAAGTGAACGATAGACAATGACAAGAGCCTCACACAGGCGTGTACAACCATTTGGAAGCAGTGCAATGGGAGTGAATCCATCATCAGGGGCACTGAACGAACTCCGTGAGGGGTCATCAGGCCTTTGAATTCCTTTTCGACGCACCATTCACCATTATAATAGCTTCTTGCTGTGTCGTGGATGTTTCTGTTCTCGATAAGATGAACATTGAATATTTCGGATCGTGCGTGACTTCGTGACTGACGTCGAGCCATTCCGGGGGAATAGTCGAAGTGTCCTCGCATGAAGTGTAAACCTCTAAAATAATCAGGCCCCTGCATTTTGGGTTGCACGGCTCCTTATACATATCCAATTGGAACGAATAGTTGTTCCATATGAAACACCGTCGTCGTTTGAACACTGTCAAATGGTTCGGATCTCTCTGAGCCAACATATTGATATAATCACGGTGAGCTATGGTACGCTTGAGCTCGATCACTTGCGAATCCGGGTTTTCTCGCTTCCTCTGTGTATGTGTATAGGACCAAATACCGTTCTGGCCGCGTTTCCGCAAACGACCTTGAACATGATGGGGGTCTGGGGAAATCAGGTAGTCGTGCACAACCTGGAATCGATGGGGTGTTTATACAATCTGACGCGGCAGTCGCATCCATGCGTTTCAAGAATATGACGAACTCCGCCAGAAGGAGGCGTTTTTCGTTTCGGAAACCGCACCTCAAAGTCTTGGAAGGTAGGGAAAACGTCGTCACTCGGAAGGCTTTTAACGAGAAATTTAACTTTGCGGCTATTGGGAGCGAAACGGTCTCCGAGCGGGACGCCGATTTTGCGACAAACACAATCGATCAAGCGCCGCATTTTCGTGTCGAAGTCTGTCGAGTTGTCGATGACCTGTGGACATGAAACGAGGAAATGAGCGAAAATCCTGTGTTCGTCTCGCACAATTCGATTATCTCGGCCGCTTGGAAGATTCTTCTCGTTCTCACTCGCAAGCGGGAGCGCGCCGGTGATCCGTGGGCGAACGAATCAAAAGCCGCACTTCGATCGAGACGAACCGCTGACAGAGCTCCTTCTCGAACCCGGGCAGCTCGCAGGGTGCATTCAACACAACGTCGTCAGCTTTCTTTCCACTCACCTCGATGTAGGGATGACCAACCCAAGCTTTACTAGCCAGTTCATCTCGTTCCCGAGCGAGTTCCAAATCTTCTGAGCGGGCAGCGTTGTCGTCTAAACTGTAAAAACGTTCTGCACCCTTCGCCGCCGAAACTAAATGCACAATCTGATTGTACCTTGAAAGAGGAGACAACACAGTGAGAAAGGCGGACCCTGAGGATATCCGAGTCCTCTCTCTAGCGGAACACTTCCTCATGGGGTTTTCCTGCGAGCCCCATGAGAAATTCGTCAAATTTGCTCTATTCATGATTCCCCCATTCACCTGTTGTCTCGCAAGTCTATTTCGTTGAACGAATTGCGGCTCAATATTCGATTCCAAACATGCCGCTGGATGAATGCCGAAGGATCCATGGTTCCTGCACGGAGAGAAAAGTGCACTTGGTCCCTCGCCAACACTTCGTTTAGATGTTTTCAAACGATATAGTCACCCCGAAGAACTCACCTCGATCGCAGATGACGACACAGTTGTGGTTGGAGGAGTGCGCGAGATCGAAAAATGTCTTCTCCATGGCCATCATCGTCAGCAATAGGTTCTCCTGTAGCGAAGTGGAACAGACAACGTTTTCATGGGCAAAGAGAGTTTCTCGTCTCGAGACTTCCCTCGCGAGCTTGAGTCCTGGGATCAAGATCTCTCTCGACTGTATTAGAAACGGAGCTCTGATCTATATCCCCTCCATTCAGCTTAAGAATCGATATTTCTCCCTGCTCGTACACGGGCACACGATACAGGCACGGATCCATTAGAATTGCCTCTTCGATGATCAACTCGAGAAATGTACGCATCAGAAACACGTGTCTGGGTGGCCTTGACCATCTGACCCACAGGGTCTATCAGAGCGCAACACAACTGCTTTGAGACAGTGCCGAGTCGCGCACTCTTCCACTCACCTGAAAGTTTTCGGTCTGCGCTTCGTTCAGGTCCGGGAACCGAATTCCTCCACCTGGAAGGTGTCATCGCGGAATTCGAAACATGTCCCATGCCGATTCGAGGTGGGCCTACACGATCATGTCTGACATACAATTCAAGAGATCTTCTCGGCACTCACCCAGCAGGATGGTAGCGGCTTCAGGCACTCTGTACACCTTCCAGCCATAGTTTTCCAGGAACGTACTCAATCTCGCCTGGCCAGTTGTTTTCCCGCTACAAGGGCCTCCAGTGAGCACGAGCTTGAACACAACGTGGTTTCTGTCTTCATCGATGGACATGTCCTTTTTGTTGGCGAGCCCCTCAGAGGGAAGCTTCGTCCCTTGGTTCAATGGCGGCCTGCGGAAGTTCCCGGACGGAAATTACACAAACACTGATACCGACAGCCACCGAATCCACAGTATTGGCCCGCTACAGCGCGAGCAGAACAAACGGTACTCATACTACTAAGAGGAGAACGCGATCGCCGAGGGACCTGACCCTCCTCCGGCTGAGAGGAAGGGAGGGAGGAGCCCTCACCGAGCTCTCTGGGCTCAGCGTTTGAACTGGCGCCGAGTTTCCTCCAGGTCTCGCGGCAGTTCTGACCCACGAGATCTGGCAGCAGAATTTTCCGACACACACCGCTCGGGTGACATGTTCGAAGCCACCACTCCGGCGATACCCTCAGACTGAAGTTTATGAAGCATGCTTATCGTATGATGGCTCGAGGACGACGCCCAGGAATGAACCGCATTGTTCCGTGAGCGCCGGTCTCTGCCGCGCACGGCTTATTGACGTTCCGCTCGAGGCATCGACGACTCCCTCGACCATGAATAACATCATATGATCGCCACACACGTGGGCCGAGTTCATTTCCTCCCGAGAGTTCAATGGAGAAAATCTTCTCTCCCTGACTGAATGTCCTCTCGGGATCTTGACTAGACCTCCGAATCGACCCAAACTCCGATCGGAAACGATTGCAACATCCCATATGAGGCGAGGCCAAGAGGATACAAACTCGATCCGGGAAGCTCCTCATAAGAATGAGGTAAACTTCGCGTCATTCGCGGCAGATACTCCTGCGAAACTCTTCCGGGCGCAGAAAGAAGGTCGTGAAGATTCATTCAATTCGCTCCCCTCGAACAGAAACTCGTGATTATCCCGATCCGGACGATGACAGCTCAGAGCATCGAGGCCAATAGGATCCGAGTTGGACCTCGGGACATCGTGGAAACTCTGGGCGTGCGTTGAAAACAGATACTTCGGATATCTCGGGAACGAATGATTGTTTGGACTTTAACAGGTTACGGACAAGACGGCGGCGCGGCGTCGACGCATTCAGACGTCGGAACGAACTGAGTTGTACTCACATGACGCTAGGCGATGCTGCGACTACGCTCAGTTTGAAGCTTTTGCCACAGCCACAAGCCGGCTGACGCAGTCAGGCAGGCAGGTCCGTCCGTCCGTCGCCCGGTCGCTCGGTAAATCAGTGGATCGGGTAGCCGGTTGCTGGTCGGCTGCTTCGCCTCTGTTCGTTCTCAAGGCGTTCGTTAGTGACTGAACAGAAACCGAGCGTCGCCGTTCCTCGTCGTCTCCTAAAATCCGTCCGGGCTGATCGAACCGGTCGGACTTGGAGTGTTCGCGGGCTGGCTTGTCACCACAGAATCGAACTCCTGTTGTTTCATACGGCGATCCGGTGAAGTTTCTGTTCGGAATCGTTTGTTGCTGTTATTTATTCTCGCCTCATGAGAAAAGAAAGCGCCGGAAGGAGGGAAGGCGGAGACCGTCAACGATGAGGAATCGCTGTGAGAGAGGGAAAGCTACAAAGCTCGAACGTTTACACATGGTCAGACCGCACATTGTCCAACCAGACACAACAATCTTTTTCCCCAGCAGCGGTCCGATCTGATTGATACTCTTCCTTGTCATATTGGATTGAGCTCGAATGTGGCAAGGAGAAGATCGCGGAGCCGTTCCGGGACCCACTTATCGATTCCTGGCAGATTAAAATTTTGATAGATCTAGACAAAGAGTTTTGTAACGTTTGACTATGAGAAGGAGAAACTTTCTGCTACCGAAAGCGACTGATATCTGGTCGAGGGTCGCTTCTCGAAAATATCGATTCCGGAGCCCAGTCGCAGCGGTAGATCCATAAATGGATGTGGCGCCGAGTTTATTCTATTGCGAGCGTTTCCATCCGAAATGGACTTCGCCCTCGCGTATCTCTGTTCAAGCTAGTCTCAGTCAGTGATCGAATCGACCCGCACCGCGTGCTATGACGCTGTTTCTAGAAAATTTAAATCAGTCAAAGTAAGGGATGAATGATGGTGAGCTTTTTTATTTGAAAGGAACGCAAAATATAACACCGCTTGGAAGAGTGGTACACACACACCGATCTGTGTGGAGATCGCTCAGAAAAGAGGATCAGGAGTTATCTGGATGGATGGGTGGGCAGCACACAGAACGATCGACCGTGATAAAACCAGTCAGGACAGGAAGCGTCGCTTATGAGGGACCCAGCATCGGAGCTCCGCTGCTGATACCGAATCCTTATTGAAATACCAAGTGTCTCCGATCCGGGTCCTGGGCACCTTGCGCTCATCAGTTCATTCGCTTCCCCGTGATCGGTAACTCCATCAGCACACTCGTCTCTCGCGAATTCGCGAAAATTCCGCATCGTGGTCTTGCAACGAGACTACTCCTGTTGACGAAATGGTTTAATCCCCGTCGGGAGTTCGCAGCGTCACACAATAATGTGATCGTTGTTCTGAACTACGGGTGCTTTCTCGCTCGTCTTCTTCGACCTATCACCTGATATCGTGCGAACCGGTGGAAACGGCGGCGCGTTCCGGTGTGATGGAGGTGACGCGAGGGACTCTGGTCCAGACACGAAGCTGCGCCATTTAGAAGTTCTATCCAAACCGCGGAATGTCATGCGGTAGAGCAGCACAAAAGCAAGCAATCCACAAAGAGCGAATATCACGATGGAAACCACCCGCAGCAGTTCTGATGAAACCATGTTCACTTATAGTGTATGGCGTAGTGAAAGCGCCCCTGGAGCTTACCGGTCTCAGTCAACCCCGATAAACGCCTCTCGCCATGCCTCGACGACCGGATTTTATGCCTCAATGACGTGCGTTTTCACGATGGCGATATATATCACCGATGTATATACTTGTCCCTCGGGTTCCAAGCGATGCCTCCCCAGCAACCATCTATTCACGCGTTCTCCTTCCTTCAATGATCATCGTCAATACCATGTGTTATGCTTTAACCTCATACGAGCATACGGGCAACAAGCTAGGATTTCATTGATCAACAGAACGAACTCGTGTCAGAGGAGAATATGAGTGCTCTCTGATAGCGAGAGACAAGGTTGCGAGAAGCGAACACTGCGGTAATGCGATATCTGGAAATCCATCCTTCCATTCGGATTTCTCCCGAACCGGGGCGAATCGTCATCAGATCTGCGCGGCCGCCAGGAAGCGTTCCTGTGACTACCGATTCCCCGGGAGAAAAATATGAGACTGGGGGAGGAACCAGAGAACTTTCGACAGCGATTGAATTCCTCATGCGTCGACTCATTTGTGCGCGGTACCCCTCTTCGCTGAGAATAGACTTCATCCAGCTCCACCTGAGCTAGAAATAATGAGAGCTTTCGCTCCGTCGGACGGCTCCGAGGCGAGGAGCGCTCCTAGTGGAATGACATGAATATCAGAACAACGAACCCGGAATTGCAAAGAGAAGTCAGTTTTGTTTATTTGTACACGGAGTCGATTGGTACTATGCCTCTACCCGAGCCAGGCATATCTAGTGGCTCGATTCGCCTCTCTCGTACGCTTGACATCTTCTTGGGCCTCTACAGTATTGGGATGGATAGCTTACACAATATACAACTACTGGGATCTTCTCACCCGTCTCATTTTCTTGACGCTCACTCCATATTTTCATAGCACGCACATCACAGAGATTCCACCAGACATGAATCGCCTCGGGCGCTTATCGAGCGGCGGTATGTCTCGCTTGGCGGGAGCGGCGTAACGCTCGCTTATACGCGAGGGGAACTTCTGCTCAAAAAAGCACACGAAGTTTCTTGCCTCAGAAATACGTACAAAGGGTGCGCCGACGAGCCACGGAGAACCGAGGAAAATTCATCCTTCGGATTTTTTGAGAACTTTCCTGGAGGAGCTGAAAGTCGCCTGTACAAAAATGGAGACTGCCCGTCGCTGCCGACGGATGTGGGAACATTTGCGGGGTTCAAAATTGACTCTGGAATAGATTAGCAGCTTCCAATGGAATGCTTAAAGCGATCTGATAGCTCGTCGCTCCTATACCGGTGAGGTTCTCTCGTCGATCGTCTCTCAAATCATTGACGGAGCGAGCAGTCGGAAGCTGTACATGCGATTCTTCGCCAACGAACATGGTGTTCCCTCAATTAAGACTGATCGTCACATTGATACCTAGGTTGCCGTTGTCAGCGAAGAATTTCGCCACCGCCGTGTCGAACACCAGGCAATTGCTGCTCATGATCGCGGCCTGTACACCTTCGTGTATGGATCGTGGGGTAGCTTCCCAACTCAAGCGTCGCTTGTTGCCATTTAGCTCGAGCCTGAAAAAACAGCTCGTTCAGATTTGAATGGCTCCGCCAGGTTTTTGGATAAAGATTGAATGCGGCTCGGATAAACTCCTTCGTCTGGGGAGTAGATCTCGAGCGAACTCGTGAAGCCCTCGGAAGGACGACAACGGAATCGGAAGAGTGAAGCCTCACCTGTACACGAAGTTCGCTGCTTGATTCCGCGATCCAATTATTTGAACTATTGCGAAGAATTGCTGATATCCATCATATTTCTCTTGCTTCTCAAGGACAAGCATGAAATGGTGCCCGAAACAGGATTGCATCATCACCCAGTCTACCGCGCCCGGTAGGTTTATATCGGTCGCCAAGAAAACGATGTCTTCACCTGGAGTACAAATACTTCGATGAGTAGCTATTGCACTTTGTTGGCGACTTGCAAGGTGTCTACTCAATCGATCAATGAATCACTGAGAACCCTCATATATCGTTGTCGAGCTCGGGAAGTTTCTTCCGTATCAGACGACTGGGTTTTTCCCGGGACGCGGGTCCATTGATGTTCTCATCCGAAAGGAAACCTACCTTGCAAGGTTGTGATCGATTTGTGTGAATGGGTGAGGTGAGTCATCACCATGTCTAGCGAGCCTAACCACTTGCAGGAAGCTCCCGGACAGGGACAAGAGTATGGCCGGAACTCACAACCTTCTTCATGGTTGATCTTATCAGAATGATTCAGCAGTTGCATACAGCCATTGGAGGAATATTTGCACGGGAAATGAACACTGGCAGCCACCTGTGGCGGAGAGAGGTCTTAGAGTCCTGATTGACGTAGAGTCGCATTGATCGATTGAGACTAGGGCAAGCGTCTTTAGCCCAGTACGGAATTTCGCTCACCTTCTCCATGGCTAGGTTTCGGATATTCCCAATGGGAGCACGGCAGGTCGGACAGCATGAGAGTTTCTCTCGGCAGGCACAACACACGAGATGACCATTTTGACATTGTAATATAGGTGGAAGAACGTAATCGAAGCATACGGGACATTCGAAAAGAGACGCCAGATGAGTGCTTGATGAGGAGCATCCGGCCTGACTCAGGCTCAGCTGACCAGCACACGGAGGCGACGGGTTGTTGTTCGAAGCGGACGTCGATGAAGGACTCGCCGTGAGGTTCTGGTTGATGGTTGGGGTCGCAGCTGAGAAAAGAACGAAGGATATTAAATCGATCAACTCCTTCTGATCCATGAATATCCGGCGTTTTGAAATTCACGAGCACGTGGACCGACGAGACTAGTCGGTACACCGACTCGAGAGCTCTAGAGATCGACCTCGGCTCCTCGTCGCCTTATAGGCCGGGCGTATCGGCATTCCGAGTACTTTCATAGTGATCGGTGTTCTCATTCACGGGACGATCGGATCTGGGACCCTGCTTTTCTTGTCGTCTCAGTGACCCCTGAAACCTCATCTTCTCTCATCTTTCTTCTCTCAGGGAAGGGGGAGGGGAGGGAGTGCAAGCCCCCTCTCGAGTAGAGTCCCTGAATAAAGCCTCGAGCTCCGAAATAGGTACCGAGAGCGGAGCCGAACCCCGATAGGTGGACATTCATGACGGGGACGGGTGAGAGGGAGGTCGGCTTTCATCTTCAGATTGTATAATTGAGCTCGACTCTTCCGACTGGCTTTTCATGCGACCCCTGAATCGTTTAGGCTAGCTCGTCGCGAAGTTTTCGACCGATTGATTCTAGAGCGCTCTCGGCGCATCGAGAAAGGCCTCCGAAGGAGTTATGCTCGTCAACTATAGCCAGATGCATATTTCAACGAGATTCGGAGGAACTCAGCTTCACGCTCAATCGAGAACAATACATTAACATCCTCATAATGCGGTACCCTAGGATGGGAACATTGTTGCCGCCAGACTGCCGAACGTTCGCATTGTTTCTGTTTCCGGAGTAAATATCTGATCTCATCAGAACAAATTCGTATCTATCACGTGGAGCGATAGATTTGAACGGAATATAAGCATGAAGGAGGAGCAAGTCAGCCTCGATCGGCGAATGCTTTCTTTTCTGGTGTAAGTGGCTTCCCGACTGAGTTCCCGAAACAGACAAATATCCCTCCGAATTTCCTGGCACCAGATGAGTCAAAAGAATATCTAGGATTCAACGAGGATGAGCTGCACAGGAATTCATGAGCCGCGGCTGAATCCGAAGTGGAACAATGGACACCGAGCGAGCGGAGGCAGAAGACAGATGGGATCGCTGTAGAGCGGATTGATGAACAGATGAATAGAAAACTTTCTAATAATAATGGCTCCGGAGTGTTCTTCACTCAGATGTCAAACGCCCAACACGGGGAACGCGTTATCTCGCCCACACGGACGTACTGCTCCCGTGCTGTCGGGGAACGGTGATCCGAAAAGTCGGGAAGAAGAGCTCGCGAGATGCCAGGCGATTCATGTTCCGAAGTCTTCGACCACGTTCAACCAGCGACGAGCTCATCGTTAGTCCCTTTCTTCCATTTTTTTGGAGGAGATTTCTCTTGGGCTCGTGTGATCTTCTTCACATCGTTCTAATCGTATCGATCGGACAGACATGGAAATCTCCTTCAAGGAATCTGTGCCTCTAGATATTCTCGTCGAAAGAGAGTACTCCCTGACCATGTCTTGCGAGAGCGCCGAGTAGGACCTTCATAGATGTCTGGGATTCAAGCGAATTTTCACAGGAAACCTACCTCCCACTTGCGGGAACCTCTGACCCTCCACCTTGGGCCGTACGCTGGTGGTGAGCGGAAGAGGATGCTCCATCTGTAACAGGATGAGAATGCTTAGATGTGGGCTCGCGTTTGAAACGAACTGCTCCGAGGAATGATTGAAGTATATATGCATCATGTATACACCAATGTATGTGCATGCGGGGGAATCCCTCGGGAGTTCTGAACTTCGACCAGTTCTTCGTCAAGAGAAGTGGTGCGAAACATCTGAATTTCCGGAGGGGATCCTCGACTCATTATGTTAAGCTGTGTTTGCCTCTTAGGATGAGCACTGTAGAGTCACTGGTTCGTTTGTTCCTTCAGTCGACTTCAACGTTTTTACCTTCACCGTGTAGTGGTCACAGTCACTGCGGAGAAATCAGCAAACCGAACTCAACGGAGCGGAGCGAGAGCCGTGGAGAAGACTCACGAGGAAACGAAACCCGTCCGCAACTGTAGTCACAGCAGCACAGACTGCGGCTTTCAGAACTCATGCGCACAATTGAAATCGAGACGCAACGCCCAACCGCATATGCAGCGTGCCAGGGGGGCACTTCGACCGAAGATACCGATGACGCGAAAAAAATTCTGAGAACTGCTCCAGCTTCGTTAAAAATATGATCTCCGCGCGAAACTTCCTCACCCTGAGCTCGGTGCCCCTGTTCGATCGATTCCACATTGCGATGACGCGAGTACGCTTCTAATAGATGAACACGGATCGTTCGCTTGTACATGCTCGCATTTCGCAACGCAAGAGTCTCGCCGATGTCCTCCCGCAACTCCTTTCCCCGGTGATTTGAACCGGGCTAAATTCTCGGCGACGACCTTGACGGGGCCACAGAGCTTGCCGTCGAATGGGACAGATGTACGCGGATTCAATTCCCGAAGCGCATCTTCTGTTGTGTCCGGCCGATGGCCTCATCCCTGCCGCAGAAGGACCGATGGACAGGGACTCTTCTCGCATACCATGACCACTTCTTGATTTTTCGCGACTCATCGCGGCAAGAGGATATGAAATCTTCTAGGAGGATAAGCGAGCCATGGGAGCTCTAGTACCCGGTAAAACAATTCGGTACTGGGTCACAACACTACAGGCGAAGTTTTCCCATTCGCGACGTATAACGTGAGAAATTTCCTAGGATTCATCTCGTTGAAAAACTGACGTCATCGGATCCGCGTCCGCGACTGGCTGGCTCCGCCGTGGTGAAAGCCCAACTCTTTATTTTAGCGAATGATTCTACCCGACCGCCATCGCCCGCCTGGTAGATTTTGGGCGCCCCGCTCGAAGCCTCCTCAATACGTCCGGGCTCCATCGACGGTGAACGCCACGAACCAATCAGGATTAGAATTACTGTGAGGCTTCACCAAAACTTCAAGCTCCAAGTCATCCGCAAGTCCGGAACGGAGTCCATCTCTTCATGGAGGTCGCTTCGAATCGCGATGCGGACTGGTGCGACGACTTAGGAATCGCGGCACTCGAGCTTTGTCAGAGCCGTCGGATAGAGTTTCCGCGACGAAAACATCCGGTAAGGAAGCTCACGGAGTCCACAGAGCGAGCTTTCTCCATGAGAAATTATGATTTGAGACTTCGTGGGTACTCGCAAAATCGCAGATGGTTCCCCTCTCAACGGAACACTTCGCCAGTTTCATCTGACGGAGTCTTGCACAATGTATCATATCCCAGCTTCCGAAGCGCCGCTCATTTCATCATATGGCAGAGGATGGGAACACTGGCTGGTGTTGGGCCGACTTCGGAACTTTAAGTTTCGATTCACGATTGCATGGAAAGCTCATCACGAATGAGTACGAGAGATCGAGCTCATCTTTTCCGGCCCGATTGACATGAATGCCTGACACCACACTTGAAGGAAAATGAGCCCTGACGGAACACATGCAGAGGTCTTCGATGCGACGTTCGACGAAACTTGCCTGTTCCGGGGAATCCAGTTTGGCGTTCAGTAGGTTCTCTGCTCGACAAAGGACTAACACGACGACATTACGGGCGAGTTGCCCACAGCCTCGGATTTCGTCTTTGACTTAACGAAATCAAAAGTTTCCTCGCTCCTCGAGAGAGCGACTGATGACAGGAAGCGATAGGAGATACAAAGTGGACTGTGACGATGTCGGCAAGGGAGCAGCCTCCTGTGGACTTCTCCCGTTGATTCCGTGTGCGTTCACCACATTTAGATAGTCCGGAATGATTCAATCAACCAGCTTATCGATCAGCAAACTCTCGCACAACACCACGAAGGAGAGCACATACACATGAGCAGTAGTAGTAGCCGCATTTACAGCGGAGGCGAACCTTTGTGTCTAAGTCGTGTGTGGATGGGTGCGATTTAGTGGTGGTGGTGGTGCTGCTGCTGCGGCTGCTTCGATTCGGCCATGAGGGCCGTCAGCAGCAGAGAGGTTGCGCGCCAGAATTCGAAAAGTACCCTCTTCGGGCTCGGGGGGCAATGTCGCCAGTTCCGATGCTCACGCAATGGAATTTCTTCCTTGGAACGTGTAAAGGTGAGAGCCCTTGATCCCTCAAACAAGTCGCATCGATCCGTTTCTCCAGTCATTTGTAGATTCAGGCTGCATTTCGAGTCCTCTTGGAGAGACTCTGCTATGGGAGAGAAATTGAGAAGCGAATTCTGGGAATCTCTCATGGGCTAGAACTCACGCAAGCCTTAGCGGTTATATTGGAGTTAGGTAGGCCAAAGCCCACAAAGTCTGCTCCGGAGCATCCCCCTCAGAGAAGTTATTCGCTTTCTCCCTAAACGGATCTAGCGGAAGTCGCCCACTCGACTTGCAAGGAAATTTTCGTAGACCGTAAACCATACGTTGTCGGATAGACCCGCGCTTCATGTCAGTGCAAGCCGGGCAGCCGGGCAAGGATCTTCAGCCCGGCCAGAGGCGGGGAACTCAAAGCAATCGACTCTTCGTTTCCGTTCTCGGCGATTTGTTCTGCTGATTGAGTCTGTTTTGATTGTGACCAGCTCATCGATCGTCCTTCTGGTAGAGCTCGAGCCCAGAGATGGAGGCGGCGTGGACATTCATAGCGATGTCTCCGGGAGACCTCCGCTATGGGGCAGTCGGTCCCCGCTTTGGCAGCGATTATCGTCCGGATTCGGGGGGCATTCCCACCCAGCCGTTCATCCTCGATGAAGCTCCTGCCCCGACCGGTATTGACGAGACCTAACGTGTGGGCTGGGAAACCAGTACAAACTGTCGAAAACTAGGGCTTGACGATTCGACCTAAGCCTGGCGATTGTAGAATAGGAGAGCGATCGAGGAATGGCTTCGGCTCGTAGTGAGCCGGGGGATACTGACGTGTGGGGTTCTTCGACACCAGCCGGCAGACCCGTCCGCGCTATCGAGTGAGTTATGCTGCGCGCTTTCTCTCCTGATCCCCTGTTCCTACTCGTTTGCTCTGGATCGTCCTGCTGGCCGAAAACTATATGGATCTGGATACGATAGAGCATCGGCGGAATCAGACACAGTGTCCCCCGACACGGGACTGAGCATGCCCCCTATCTTACATGGGAGCTTCAGTGATTTCGCGGAGCTTCGAAAAATGATTGCGGCTCCGGAGGACTGCTTGGCATGGAGCTCCCAGAAGCTGGCTCACTCTTAGAAGATCCGCCCCGATGGCCTCGATGAGAATGCCCGGACTCGTGATCGCTGATCTCTCCAACTGGTGCGCCGACAGAAACGAAGTCTCCCTCTCGAAGTCGAACAGATTGAAGCAATTCGAGGGGAGTTGAGTCATGTCTCGTTTTTCGGGAAAGACATTCTATCAGTCGGGAGAGTCGATTTATTTCGGGAAATCCTTCGTTTCTTCTGAGCCGCGTGGAAGATCGATAGAAGCGGCAGGGCGACACTATGCGTCCAGTATGTTGATAACGCAGGAGAAAGGAATGGTCAAATGGTGGTTCTCGAAATTCCTCAGCTCGCTCTGTGCCAGTACAATTCCATGACTCGTGCAGATGTGCCTCGCGCTCTGCGAATTTCCAGGCAGAGTGAGATTGATGCCCTTGTTCTCTGGTGTAGGTACGATTCTCGACTGGGCTACGGTTTCCTCCAGCGCGAGAACGCCTCAGAAGTGTTCTTCCATAGGAATCGGCTTATCATGGCCTCTGGCGAGAGCCCGAACATTCGTCCTCAAACTCGAGTTGTCTTCGATCTGTGGAGGACTGTAGAGGGCCGATTCGAAGCCCAAAACATCAGAAGCAACTGGGGGAGACCGATCTCTAATCGCACGTCCGGAAAACGTTACTCGAGCTTGAGAAAGGATATACACAAAAGCATCCGGGACGATTTGCACGAAAAATACCGTAAGGCGGTCATGAGATCGGCTCTCGACCGAGTCTCCGGGATGTCGGGAATCAATTACGCCGACGAGATCTTCTGATCGATCGGGGAATTTCTAATGGGTGATTTTCCCGCATCGTATAATGTCGATTTCCCAGAAACATGTTGGCATTCCACGCTGTTCTAATTTCCAGCTGTCTTCGAAATCAGTGCAATGGCGTGCATCACTGCAAATCGGTTCTGCTCTCGACACAAGGCTGATTGAAATGGCGTCTTGACGACTGGATGACTGAACTACAGGGCCCTCCGCGTGCGCGGCGATGGAGAGACAAGATCTCTCAGCAGACAGGAGGACGCTCGAATACGATGGCTAGATTCTTGAATAAACTGGGATAACTTGTTTTCTGAGCGAAGTCTCTTCATCCACCGATGACGAAGGAGCATCCGACATTTCTCACCCAGCGCTCTCCGCCTTGATTCCGGAATCCGGACGTCGCGGACGGCTGGATTAGGAGACCAGTGAGATCGCCGTCCTCGTTGAGGGATCCCCATCATCGTCCCGAGGATCCTTCTGCCGAGGGGGGTCGAGTATTCTTTTGAAACTGCCTGCGATGGTTTATTTCTTTAGGCAGCACAACTTCGTCCTGATCGACGGCGCTAGCTGATCGGAAGCTGTCCCCAAGTTCTACTACGTGAGACAGACGTGACTGCGATGAAGAAGAGGACCGTGACGACCTGCCATCGGGGAAACGACCACAGCGCGGATCCACAGAGCGGGATAATCTGCAACAAGAACTCTGTCACAAACCAGGTGTCAGCTAGGAGCATTCCGATCACCAATCATCGGAATACCCTCTGAACACATGCGGAAATCCCGACGTTCTGTACCTGCTCGAGTTTAGCGATTCCCGCGTTTACCTGTTCGGCCGGGTCAGCCCGCGTAAGAACGAAATCTCTGACATCACACGATGCTCGTCGTCTGGATATCGTACAGAGCGACAAGCTTGTGACAATGATGACCAATTCCACGCAAAGCGGGAACCAGCGACAGATTCGCTGCGAACATTCGAGCCGCGAGGGGAAACACAGCTCTCCCTCCCCCGGGAAACCGAGAACACTCTGCACGAACGAACCTGTGGCAAATCAGTGTCAGCTTCGTTGGCTCGATCCGAGATTCCTCCTAGACAGGGATACTCTTTGGAATGGAAGTGCTCAGGACCCAACAATCTTTTCCGGATCCGTCCTAGTACATGCAAAGATTAGTTACCGACCATAGAAACATCTCACCTATGAACCAGAGTGTCAACATCGGGTCGACGAAAGTCCCGCACTCGAGTCCACGCCTCGACGAAATAGTCAGAGCATACTTGAGGAAAGCCTCGTTTCGGCTATTGCATCCCTTTCCAATCAGGCTGAACGATTCAACGAGGCTCACTGCGCACGAGCCCAGAAACGCCACAGAGAGAATATTAATGGCTGAAGTAATCACGAGCACGAAAGTTTCTGTTATCTGTATGTGTTGAAGCTGCAGCGTGTCGGCGGTCAGCTGCCGTGAACCTGTCGCGATCCAGCTCAATGCGAAAACGAGGGAGCTCGGGACGAAGTTCAGGATCCTGTCCACAGGTATGTACCAGAACTCGATCATTAGAATGATTGTGATAACGAGTCCAATCACAGCAAAAGCGACAATGAGAACCTGTGCCGGATCCGGACGTCTCACGTGGACCTTGATACGACCTGTTTCGTTGGAGGGCGGACCCGATGCTGCTGAGATCCTCTGAGTTTGAATTGAGAATTCTTTCGCATTCCCGATGAAGTCTGAGATTTCGGCCAGGAAGACGAAATTGAATCCGACCAGGAAAGCAATTGATTTCAAAAATTGACCAATGTCCCACCAGAGTGGATGGGGCAACAAGAAAGTTGATGAGCTTAAATTGAACGACAGGAGCAGCACGAGCACGAAAGCAGTGGCACTCGTCATGACAACTCCAACCAGAACCGATAGTATTCGGAAAGACATTTGCTGTCTCGTTTGAGTAGGTTGCCTTAGATCATCTCGTCGGGTGGACTCCGCGAGGAAATCCCAGGGCAGAACGGCGAAGAATTTCGACAGCAATATCAAATTCACGAACATCCTCACACGCGGCTGGCCTCACCACTGAACGGGGACACATGAGTGCGACCCTTCTCAGATCTCCATTTTTGCTTGGTGCATAATGGAACGATGCTTCGGACTTCGTGTCGTGATCGGTCATCAGAGAGCGTTTATGGGTCAGGCCTCCTATTCCGAATCTCTGGACAAGCTGGGACATCCTCGGAACACGATTCTTGCTTGGCTTCTCTCCGGAATCCCGAACGCTGTCGATACGACCTCCCCCGAAATCTCACGTCGATGGAAGAACCCCGGCGTCCTCTCGCCGGTGACATGCAAAGCTTCCGATTTTTCTCGAAACAAGATATCAGCCGAGCGTGGTGTCAGTCAGTGCTTTTCCTTCCCCAATCGCTCCCTGTCCGAAGTCGAATCTCCTGTTGTCGCACTTTGAGTTCCGGCCAAGTTGAATCCTGGGATGATGTAGGGTCCTACCGGATTCCCTGTATCCATTATCATTGAAATCTCGGCCTGAATCCACCACTCGTCATTGAAAGTTACCCCCAAAATGCCTTCTACATCCTGCTGGAGCACAACACGGCCATGGACTGACGGAGGAATACTGGATACTGGTCTGCGAAACGACAAAGCCAGCTCATGTTCCAATGAAAACGCCTTTCCAGACGTTAGGACCCAGCAGAGCCCATCATTCAATAACTAAAATGGAGAGATTCAAAGGGCCGAAGTTCTCTGATCGTACGCACCTTTTTTGCGAGAGTTCGCCCGGAGCGCGCTCATGAGACGTCCCTTGCAGCGATTAGCCTGACGGAGCTTCTATCACAGTTGCGAAACTTCTATGCCGATCCGGGCGCGCTTGGATCACTCTGTTGACTTGAGCCTACACCACTGCTGACTCGAGTCTCATGTGCGCAGTTCTCTCCCACCGAGCGGACGGCTGAACTCATACAACTGGGAATCCGGTGGGTTTCGTGAAGAACGATAGAGGGCGAACATCCAGCTGATCGGGAGAAGCTGGATCGAAGTGAAGTGCTTGCTTTCCCTGAAAGTGTGAAGGACGAGAATGCCTAAGGTCGACAGTCGCCGATTCAAGTATCATCAGGCTGCGAAGAAGCGCCAAGAGAAGAACCCAGATGGTTCCGCAAAAGTGAGTGTTCGAGACTCCGTCGTTGATCGGAGAGAGGAGATACTTGCCACCTCCGATCATAATGTTATATTGGAGACCTGAGACAGCGATTCTCACTTCAAGATCACTGCTGCCGATCAGCCGGCGCCGCATACATCCGCCGCCACGGTCAATCCCTCTGTTGGATCGGAAATAGACTTGGACCGTCTTATCATGCCTCCACCGCAACATTGGGACCGAAAAACCCTTGTGAGTCATCACGGAGTTCACTTACTCATGTCATGCAGTGTATGAGCTCGAAGGAGACCCGAGGAGTACGATAACGACCTCGTGAGCATTCTAGGTCGGCATCCATAAGAAGATCACCCAAGGAAAGAATAAGAAAGAGAAAGCCAGGGCTCGGAGGAGCCTTCTTCTCAAACGATTGGAAGCCTCGGATGCGATCATCAAAGAGATGGTGGTCAGTATTGCTTCTGCTCATTTCGGGGGAAACTCATTCGTTTCCCGAACGCTATCGCTGATTAACCCTTAGGACGTGCCCACGAATTCCTTTCTGTGAACGCGATTGCTTCATGGGATCCCCGTGACTCATCTATCTACTGATCAAGCGACTCAATTATTTATTCATCCATTTATTCTCCAGGAAAGCAAACGTCGGGAGGAAGCTTCCATCGCGGAGCCCGACGCAAGTGTCGAGCATAACAGAGATTCCCAGCAGGTGAGTGACTCTAGCTTCAAACGTCTCAATCCGCGGGAGTCCTCCGCTCACATGGGGAGACGAAGAGGTGGATAATGAAGTTTCGAAGATCTTGCCGATTCCACAGAGATCAAGGGATGGTCAAGGCACGAGTAGCGGTGTGGAAATGCCTTATTGGGCCAGAAACCGGACGCCCATGAAACGCGATCGAAAACACAAAGACATGTGAGTTCTCCGGACCATGCTCGGTTCTGCACCGAATTCATCAGTATCGCCATTCCGCCGTCCGCTCTCCAGATTCAATCCTTCCCTCTTAACTGGGATTCAATTTTACAGGCTGCAGGACATCGATGTTTTCAATAAAGTCCTTCAAGACGAGCATTTCAAAGCTAATCCAGGCGAAATCATGTTGAATCACCTGAGTATCCTGATTCAGAGGGAGTACCTGGACGAACTCAACACGCGGAAGCAATAAATGTACTAGGTCACGTGTCATTGACTCCGCTTACTGAGCTGTGCTCTGATGTGTAGTTAGGATTCACGACTGGACTACGGTCTCGTCCAGGGGGCGGACGCCCCGAAGGTAGCCCCTCGGAGGCATCAACTTATCATTGCCTCGGGCGGGAGCCCGCGTGTTCGTCATCGGATCTCACGAGAGCTGTCAAAGTCGACTCGGACTCCAAATCGTCTGGAGCACCGTGGTAGATATCGACGATGTCATTATCCGTTACGCGGAGAGCGGGAATTATTCCCAGGGCTGTGACTTCAAGGACGGCCCCGCATGCGCTCGGTCATGGGTCACAGCCCTCCGCCGATGAGACCTGCGGCTGATAAGAGATCTGACAAGAGCTCCCGGGATCTCACAGATCACAACGTGTTATTGTAGAGATAAGAGGAAATGTCGTTCTGACGCGACGCCCTTACTCTTCGGAGAGAGAGAGTCGACCTCATCTCCGAGCCTAGATTGAACCTGAACGCCGGATGACACGGATACTCATCTCTGAGTATTGACGGCGACTCCAGCGTCGAAACCTGTTCGAGAGTCAATGCGAAGCGGGGACTTGGATATTTCATCCCACGCTATTAAAGCAGGGCTCAGGTTATCCCTCCAGAGTCCCGACTCGAGCTTGTGTCAAGCGCAGTACCAGCTGAGAGTCGATTGATGAAAATATTATGATCTCACGCCCGTGGATCGGAACCTGCTCGGGAAGTAGATTCCGAGCTTCGTCATGAGATCCGAACAGATACGATCTCGCATTCAATATATATATGTTCTATGCGTTTGTTGTAAGCCGGACGTTTTCGGTGGGAAGTGGATAGAGTGAGGAATAAAGGAAGTGCGATTTCGATATCCGTTCTTTTTAGTGTAGAACTACGCTATAGCCCCCGGTAACGGGCACCAACTTCAATGGGGAGTATTGGGGGGCCAAAGCTCGAAAAAATTCAAATCTCGGAGATAGCATGCGTATGTGCTTGGGTCGTCTGCCAGAGGGTTACGCACTTTCCCTATGCGAGTCACCTGTGTAACAAACTTGTCGAGCTTACTTCTCTGAAACAGAGCGTTTGACAATTAAAATGGTGATGGCTGAATATGTCCGGCTGAGAATGAGGCACCGTTCATGCTACTCAATTTCCCCCTTATCTTGATTATTTCATAAAATACAGGCCTCGTTCTCGCAGAACGTCTGAACGAAGACTCAGAGGCTGAAAAAACTTAGGGCAAGAAACCCTCAGCATACCTTGATTAGTCCCAATCAACTGTTCTGGAAACGCTGTGTCGATTGATGCACCAAGAAATTCCCTCTTTCTGATTTTGAACATATATTTGGCGGAGAATCTCTCCTCCGCCAGGGATGGATCTATTTATTCAGGATCGCCTCAGTTTTTGCTAAATTAGTCGTTGAAACTTTCCTCAATTCTTCCTCCACCCTGCGACGATGTTGAAGGCAACTAACACCTCCGGTTGAGGTTGTAATGACAGCGGAAAACGATGTGCGCGCGTTCTTCATTTCATATGTCCTCTTATGAGAATGGACTCTCGTCATTCATTCTAGCCGTGGCTACTACATTCATGCCTTTCCTTTCCTCATTGGTCGATGTCAATGGTCGTGGAAGGACACCGGCGGAGAACCTTCTGACTAGCAAGCTAAGGATGCCGGACTCCGTGAAGAAAAAAGAACGAGTTGCGCCTAATACATCGTCAGCCATAATCCCGACATAAGAAAACGAACAGTGTTCAGACAAGCGATACGAAGCAGATTCGCGGAACAAACAAGGGCGAGAAGTCGTAGTTCAGTTCAACCGAAATGGTCCTCGGGAAATCACCTATCAGGCAGGACGCAACGTGGTGCTAAGAGAATCTAGCCACGGCGGGCCGTACGGCTTAGCGGACGATTGGGAGGGAGTGGTTCACCCAACGAAAAACTTCTTAGACGGTGCTGTCGTCCTGTCGCAGCATTGTGAATGAATGAACGCGTGTCTATCGCGTTGGGACAAATCATTCCAGAATGAAGAGCTTTCTTTTTTTAGTGCCGCCGCGCCGCTTCCCGGTGATGGTCTCGAAAAGGAGGATAAGGGAAGCCATCCTTACAATGCCGAATCATGATCATTCTAAGGTTTCGACATTCCATTAGGAACCTCATTTTATTAGTCTACAACTAATTCATCCCCATCATCGTCTAGATGCGGATGCGCGGCCTCGCGATACTCGAAAAATCCTCCATCGGACATGCAATGATTGTTCCTTGAGATCAGCAATATGAGATCTCATCGAGAGAGCAGATCATGTAGCAGCGTTTCTCCTAGGCGGACATGGTCATGGAATCTAATGTTCCTTTCATACGCATAGTCGCGATGTTCTTCAATCCTTATATCCTCCACGAGGAAGTGTGGCACTCGGTCACGTACCGGTTGCCGTCCGAATTGCGGGTTGCCAAGTGGAAAACGACGCCGCACTCGGGGCAGATATCGGACCGTATATCCGATTGAAGTTTGTCGGTTGAGTAATAAGCAGATTTTGATGTCATTCGTCAACATTCCTGAGTTTAGAAAATCTGCCGAAGTCTTCGAAGGTTGCTACCGACCGAGTCCCGTTCCCGCAGTTGAGTTTTTTGATCTCGTTTTCCTCAAACTAAAAAACGTCTTTTGAACAACGGCCAGAGGAAATCTCGTGATACCCTTCGTCGACCGGAGGGTAGTATCGAAAATCTTTCGCGGATCTTCCGTGTTCGCGTAGTTCTACGCCCACATACCGCCTGAGTCCCTGACTCGGGCACCCCGGGGATTTTTTTCAACCGAGATTGAACGGTGGGGAGCCCGCGCGTTTTCGTCAATCTCCCTCATTTTTTTTCATCCCCCTGATGCCCCGAGTCGGATCCCAAAGAGCGCAGCACGCGACCAGATGAAGGAGGCTGAGCAGAATTTTGAGCATCGAAGTTATTTGAATGAAGAGACGCTTCGCGAGACGTATATGGAGATTTCGGCACCGGGCGAGATCCAATCGATACACTGGGCTCGGTGACATCATAGGCATCCCAGATTCCTAAAGTTCCCGAGAGAGGAGTTCTGTAGACCGAGTTTCTAGGATCCGTGTCCGGTCCCTTTTGTCTTCCTTAACGTTGGGAGCATATTCTTCATAGATTCCTCTCTCCCTCCCGATAAACGCTGCAGCATTCTCCCGGTCAACGCTGCGGCATTCGTCCGACCTTTGCTTGCCCTCAGGAGGTTGCGATCGACAAGTCCAACTCCTCCAATGAAAATCTAATTCTCCGTTCGAGCGGAGTCCTTATAATTTTGAATTTCGCGCCCCGATCCATGTGCCGCCATCTTGAACACTACGCTGTGGTGGCCTGAGAGAGAGAGTCAACTGGCTGTGTTGTGTTTACTCGGGCCGCCGGTCCATTGTTCTCCCGGTACTGCTGCTCGTCTCACAGTATCAGTGTTCACGTCTTTGTAATGTTTCACCCGGCTTGATAATCTTTGATTCACGATGCATCCAAGTCTCCAAGGAGTTTCCCGGCGCACCGCGCAAGGGCGACGTCCCCAACCAGAGAAACGGCGAGTGGACCTCCCGAAGACCTCGTCGGAAGATCCGGGATTTATAAAGCGTGAATGTTCAAACATCCCGTGCCCAGCGGGCTCCCGCAGTGGCCGGCATTTCCGCGGCGCTTCGAACTCATTCCCGCGTTATTGTCCACAGGCCAGACCTCTTGTGTCGAGTGAAGTACAGTAATACCCTGCCGGCCATTCCATTTGACCCAAAATTCTTAGCCTTCCCCTTCGACAACAAACGATTCCTTTCGTACAAAAGCACGTCTCTCGAAACCAACTACAAACACGATTTGTTGACCGAGCATGATTTGGGTGTTACAATCGATCTCATAGATCCGAACACCTACGCTCCACCAGCCGAAGGTGAGGCGATACGGTTCGATGAGCGTTGCTGTGTGAACTGAATGTTATGGTCTCGGAGACATCCTACGAGTTCTTATCGATCTCCAGATGTACCCCTGCATGCCGATAACGAGGAGCTACTCGAAGAGGAACCTATCACCCCTGCCGTTTCGAAGCGATCGAGACTTCACAACATGGTCATCCCCTGGGTCAAGAAGACCGAATACATCGCGACCGAGTTCTCAAGATACGGTCAGACCGGTGTCAACACTGAAACCAAAGTCGGCTACAACGTCAAGAAGATGCTCAATGAGAGGAGTCTGTACATGGATCGGGACTCTCAGATCGAAGCAATCAACAAAACATTCGAAGAAGCACAGAAACCGATCACCCAGCACTATGCCAAACCCAATGTCACCCCTGTCGAGGTGCTCCCAGTCTATCCCGACTTCGAATTGTGGAAATATCCATTCGCTCAGGTTCTGTTCGAAAATGAGCCGGCGCCAATATCCCAGGTACGTCGCGAATTTTCCTCGTCCATATCTCTGAGAATGTACGCGCCCGAATCTTCGTCCCAGCAACCCCAAAACCTTTTTTTCGATCCTTTCTGCAGGCTGAGGAAATGTCTCAGGCGATGATTCGTGGTGTGATGGACGAGTCTGGCGAACAGTTCGTCGCCTACTTCATGCCGACGGAAGAAACCCTAAGGAAGCGGCAGAATGACGCGGAAAACAAAGTCGAGTACCAGGATGAGGTCGACTATGAGTATGAAATGACGCGAGAATACAACTGGAACGTGAAGAACAAAACTTCATCGGGATACGATGAAAACTATTTCTTCGCCGTGCGAGACGGTTGCATTTATTACAATGAGCTCGAAACTAGGTGCGTAGCTTAAACGGGGATCAAGTCTTTCGGTCAATCAATGAAGTAGCGCCTGGGCCTTCCATGGTTGAGGAGCTCCTTCTGATCACTAATTTCCGACATTTCTCCGCTTAGGGTGAGGTTGAGCAAACGTCGATTGGAACCAGGCATGGCTCCCAATAATTCGGAACTGGTTGTAAAACACCGCGTTCTCAACGAGAACGAGCACCGACAACAGCAGCTCAGACTGTCACAACTCGAGCCACCACAAGAAGAAAGCGACGACGATGAGGAAGAGAAGGACGACGAGGACAACAAAGAGGAAGGGGAAGGAGCTGGGGAAGCTCACAATAAGCCTACTGGGTAAATCCGCCACTGTAGGGAGGCGATGACAGAAAAGGGACACAGCACCTTCCAGCGTTCATCTCATTAGGAGGAGTTCAACGAAACATCCTAGACAGGAAAAAAATTCGATGTACTGATGGAGAGCTCATTCGTCGTGGGGATTCACGTCATGTTTCCGACGGGACAGTTCCGATAGCGCGCGTAACCGCGTTCCTAGCCGTATCGAGTTTCGCACTCCAGCGAACCTAGAGGAGGGTTGGTCTGCTGAAACCTCTCGATTGGGTAGGTCCCCCGACATGGGACCTCATTGACCTGACCGTGTCTCCTGTACAGATCGGCCTGTAGCCTCAGGTGGTGTCATCGTAGAAGCGGTCTTCACGTCAGGTTTCCGATCCCCTTGACCTTGTATCCTGTTTTTACGCTGTCTCCTCATCGAGCGTATATCCGGGTTTCTTGGGAAGGGTAGGGAGTAGGGAGGGACGCTATTTTGGACTAAATGTGCCCGTTCTATATATGAGTAGGTAGGTTCGGACTCTCAACTTATTTTTCCCGCAGTCGCTTGCTTCGCAATCATTTCATGAAATCGTGGTCCCGCCCGGCTTCTCGGCGGACGAAATTGCAAGCTCGTCCATCGATATTCGTGTGAACATTCGTCTCCCTTGCCAGACTGCCCGTCGAATCCGTCTGGGGTCTCGGAATCTCGAGCGTCATTCCACCAACGTCGAAGCAGTGTCTTATCATTGTCCGTCTCGATGATGGTACCTTTATTCGAGGCCATGTGATTGAAAAAAAAATCCGAACCGTTCCGTGTCTACATAACAGGATCCGCCATGTGAAATATGAAGAACTACGGGAGCGAAGAGTGGAGCCTGCATATTCGAGCAAGGAGCCATGAATCCACTTTCCGCGCTCTTCGCGACATTTTGCCTAATCCACGTCTCCTTATAGCATTTTTCTCTCCGTTGCCCCACATTCGATTTGGAATGCTGATCGCCGGAGATCTTCTCAAAGAAGGCTGGGACTCGCTTAATGGGAACCCTAGTAGTTTCCCAGCCTGGCTGATTCTGTTTGTGACTCGAGCTTATGCCGAGCGCAGCCAGCTGAGAGTCGATTGATGAAAATATTATGATCTCACGCCCGTGGATCGAACTCGGAACCTGCTCGGGAAGTAGATTCCGAGCTTCGTCATGAGATCCGAACAGATACGATCTCGCATTCAATGTATATATGTTCTATGCGTTTGTTGTAATCCGGACGTTTTCGGCGGAAAGTGGATCGAGTGAGGAATAAAGATAGTGCGATCTCGATATTCGTTCTTTTTTTCAACCGAGATTGAAAGGAGGGGAGCCCGCGCGTTTTCGGCAATCTCCCTCATTTGTTTTCATCCCCCTGATGCCTCGAGTCGGATCCCAAAGAGCGCAGCACGCGACCAGATGAAGGAGGCTGAGCAGAATTTTGAGCATCGAAGCTTTTTTGAATGAAGAGACGCTTCGCGAGGCGTCGGATATGAATGTTTCCGCGCCGGGCGAGATTCAATCGATACTCTGGGCTCGGTGACATCATAGGTATCCCAGATTCCTGAAGTTCCCGGGAGAGGAGTACTGTAGATCGAGGTTCTAGGATCGGTGTCGGGTCCCTTTTGTCTTCCTCAATGTTGGGAGCATACTCCCCATAGATTCCTCTCTCCCTCCCGATAAACGCTGTGGCATTCTTCCGGTCAACGCTGCGGCATTCGTCCGACCTTTGCTTGCCCTTAGGAGGTTGCGATCGACAAGTCCAACTCCTCCAATGGAAATCTCACTCTCTGTTCGAGCGGAGTCCTTATAATTTTGAACTTCGCGCCCCGATCCATGTGCCGCCATCTTGAACACTACGTTGTGGTGGCCTGTGTTGTGCTGTGTTCTGTGTTTACCCACGCCGCCGGTCCATCGTTCTCCCGGTACTGCTGCTCGTCTCACAGTATCAGTGTTCACGTCTTTGTAATGTTTCACCTGGCTTGATAATTTCACCTGGCTCACGATGCCTCCAAGTCTCCAAGGAGTTTCCCCGCGCACCGCGCAAGGGCGACGTCCCCAACCAGAGAAACGGCGAGTGGACCTCCCGAAGACCTCGTCGGAAGATCCGGGATTTATAAAGCGTGAATGTTCGAACCTCCCGTGGCCAGCGGGCTCCCGCAGTGGCCGGCATTTCCGCGGCGCTTTGAACTCATTCCCGCGTTATTTCCCACAGGTCGGACCTCTTGTGCCGAGTGAAGTACAGTAATACCCTGCCGGACATTCCATTTGACCCAAAATTCTTAGCCTTCCCCTTCGACAACAAACGATTCGTTTCGTACAAAAGCACGTCTCTCGAAACCAACTACAAACACGATTTGTTGACCGAGCATGATTTGGGTGTTACAATCGATCTCATAGATCCGAACACCTACGCTCCACCAGCCGAAGGTGAGGCGATACGGTTCGATGAGCGTTGCTGTGTGAACTGAATGTTATGGTCTCGGAGACATCCTACAAGTTTTTATCGATCTCCAGATGTACCGCTGCGTGCCGATGACGAGAAGCTACTCGAAGAGGAACCTATCACCCCTGCCGATTCGAAGCGATCGAGACTTCACAACATGGTCATCCCCTGGGTCAAGAAGACCGAGTACATCGCGACCGAGTTCTCAAGATACGGTCAGACCGGTGTCAACACTGAAACCAAAGTCGGCTACAATGTCAAGAAGATGCTCAATGAGAGGAGTCTGTACATGGACCGGGACTCTCAGATCGAAGCAATCAACAAAACATTCGAAGAAGCACAGAAACCGATCACGCAGCACTATTCCAAACCCAATGTCACCCCTGTCGAGGTGCTCCCAGTCTATCCCGACTTCGAATTGTGGAAATATCCATTCGCCCAAGTTCTGTTCGACAATGAGCCGGCGCCAATATCCCAGGTACGTCGCGAATTTTCCTCGTCCATATCTCTGAGAATGTACGCGCGGGAATCTTAGTCCCAGCAACCCCAAAACCTTTTTTCGATCCTTTCTGCAGGCTGAGGAAATGTCTCAGGCGATGATTCGTGGTGTCATGGACGAGTCTGGCGAACAGTTCGTCGCCTATTTCATGCCGACGGAAGAAACTTTGAGGAAGCGGCAGGATGACGCGGAAAACAAAGTCGAGTACCAGGATGAGGTCGACTATGAGTATAAAATGACGCGAGAATACAACTGGAACGTGAAGAACAAAACTTCATCGGGATACGAAGAAAACTATTTCTTCGCCGTGCGAGACGGTTGCATTTACTACAATGAGCTCGAAACTAGGTGCGTAGCTTAAACGGGAAACAAGTCTTTCGGTCAATCAATGACATGGCGCCTGGGCCTTCCATGGTTGAGAAGCTCACTCTGATCACTAATTTCCGACGTTTCTTAGGGTGAGGTTGAGCAAACGTCGATTGAAACCAGGCATGGCTCCCAATAATTCGAAACTGGTTGTAAAACACCGCGTTCTCAACGAGAACGAGCACCGACAACAGCAGCTCAGACTGTCACAACTCGAGCCACCACAAGAAGAAAGCGACGAGGATGCCGACGATGAAGAAGAGGAGGACGACGAGGACAACAAAGAGGAAGGGGAAGGAGCTGGGAAAGCTCAGAAGAACAAAAGTGACTCTGAGAGCGATGACGGCAAGAAGAGCGATGGCAGCAGTCGGGCGTCGAACGCCTCGCCGAAGGCTCCAGCGCCGGCCAAATCTCAGAACGCTCCAAGGAATCGTTCACGTTCGAAAAGTGCGTCGAGATCGGGATCTGGTTCTCGGTCTGGATCGAGAAGCGGATCGGAATCGCGGAGCGGCTCAGAGGCACGCAAATCTCGATCTCGATCGCGAGCGGGGACTGCGTCGAGTCACTCGAGAAGCGGGAGTGGGTCTCGGAGCTCTTCTAGAAGTGGATCTGGGTCCGGCAGTGAAGAGGAAACCAACCAGAAGGGGGACAAGAAGGAGATTTTCGGTTCGTCCGAGTCAGAGAGCGACTAGAGGGATTTATTGGATCTCACTGTATATTAGAATAAATGATGGCGTTCATTTCTGAATCGGGTCTCGAGTGTTTCGTTTTCCGTCCAGCTTATTCATTATTCCTTTCTCCTATTGATCTTCACCTCCGTCACATTCATGCCCACTTTTTCGGGCTGATCCACACAGCCAAGGCTTAACGTCCCGGGTACTGTTATTCACATTGCTTCCGAGGACGGATCCACAGAGCAAATGTACCCAGGAGGATCAAGGCCGAGTACCTGCATATTTTTCCGGCAGCAGGGATCGAACCCACACCGCCTCCCGCGCGAGCGGCGTCGTTGCGGCTATGCACGTTTGCACGAGAAGTGACAAACGCGCTTACCACTCGACCACCCGTCGGTTGTCACATTCATGCACAATGAAGCGCTATTAACATCTATCAAAATACCATAAATGTCTGGGATATGTCATACCAATTTCTCAGGTTCGTAGCTCCTAGGCTTTCCGTGACCGCTCTCATGTCCCAGTTTCCTTGGTTTTTCTGCCGAATTTCTCAGACCGGGTCTTCCGTGACGATCCATGGAATACTATCGAACTGTCCCGCTGCAGCAAGAATCATCCATCATTTGCTTGGAAGGCAGTGGCGGATTCACGAATTCGTCACCCCCAGGCTCAATCAGGACCGCAACCCAGCTGGGTTGCGTCAGGGCGGCGCAAAACTGCCGCCCCAGTCTATTGCCTACTAAGCCTACTGGGTAAATCCGCCACTGTAGGGAGGCGATGACAGAAAAGGGACACAGCACCTTCCAGCGTTCATCTCATTAGGAGGAGTTCAACGAATCATCCTAGACAGAAGAAAATTTCTATGTACTGATGGTGAGCTCATTCATCGTGGGGATTCACGTCATGTTTCCGACGAGACAGTTCCGATAGCGTTCCTACTAGGAACTTCCTAGCCGTATCGAGCTTCGCACTCCAGCGACCCTAGAGGAGGGTTGGTCTGCTAAAAGCTCTCGATTGGGTAGGTCCTCCGACATGGGACCTCATTGACCTGGAGTCTGGACAGATTGGCCTGTAGCCACGGGTGGTGTCATCGCAGAGGTGGTCTTCACGTCAGGTTTCCGTTCCCCTTGACCTTGTATCCTGTTTTTGCGCTGTCTCCTCATCGAGCGCATATCCGGGTTTCTTGGGAAGGGTTGGGAGTAGGGAGGGACGCTATTTTGGAGTTAATGTGCCCGTTCTATATATGAGTAGGTAGTTTCGGGCTCTCAACCTATTTTCCCCGCAGTCGCTTGCTTCGCAATCATTTCATGAAATCGTTGCCCCGCCGGGCTTCTCGGCGGACGAAATTGCAAGCTCGTCCATCGATATTCGTGTGAACATTCGTCTCCCTTGCCAGACTGCCCGTCGAATCCGTCTGGGGTCTCGGAATCTCGAGCGTCATTCCACCAACGTCGAAGCAGTGTCTAATCATTGTCCGTCTCGATGATGGTACCGTTATTCAAGGCCAGAGCTCCTTCCTCGGGGTATCCTACGACCAATAAGTTTCCTGTTGCCAGGCATCCAACACTGACTTCATTGGGAATAAACAGCATTGACCCGTACCATGAACCGATAACTCACGGTCATCAGTCATCAGCGTTTCGTCGACGATCTTCACACTATGCTCAATCCTATTCTCAATCTGCTACTCCCCTAGATTCATCTCCCGCTCCAAAATGTAGGTCTTTCTCCCTCGCGTTCTCCGGCAAACTTTCATGTTTTCACCCGAAACACGGACAGGGCTCAGCTCTCGTGGAAACCACGCTTAAATCTCCTTTTTTTTCTACACTTTGAATGAACCACGTTGTGAATTGAAAAAAAAATCCGAATCGTTCCGTGTCTACATAACAGGATCCGCCATGTGAAATATGAAGAACTACGGGAGCGAAGAGTGGAGCCTGTGTATTCGAGAAAGGGGCCATGAATCCATATTCCGCGCTCCTCCGCGACATTTTGCCACGTCTCCTTATAGCATTTTGTCTCCGTTGCCCCACAGTCGACTTGGAATGCTGATCGCCGGAGATCTTCTCAAAGAAGGCTGGGACTCGCTTAATGGGAACCCTAGTAGTCTCCAAGCCTGGCTGATTCTGTTTGTTTTTCGAACCGGGATGCACGGACAATCCTCTTCCATATGCTTCCCGAGATGCTATAACCCTAGGCTCTCACCCTGCGATTGTCTCTCGAGTTACTGCCCAGTTTTCTCCCGAAGCGGGTCTGGGGGGCAACTCGACCTCCTCGATCCGATAGCGGTTTCCGGCCCGGATCCCCTCATGGAGGGTTGGGCAAGCTTCTGGATGGATCCTCAACTGTCTCCTAGGTCGAAAGAGAACAATCGACCGCCGGCCCCGGGTAGCGCTTCCCCGCGTTAGGCTGGGCTGTGACTCAGGAGATTCTGCTGCTCGCAAGAGGATACACGGCGAAGGTGGCATCATTCTCGCAGCCGCCATATTATGTGCCACTTGCCCGTATGTCGCTCACGCCTCTTCCGAGGTTCTCGGACTTTTTCTCGACTCAAATCCGTTTTTTCCCTTCTCCATATTCTTCTCCGATCCCCACGTTTTTTGGTTCCTAATGTCCGGGTTCGTTCATACAATCGATGCATGGCTCAAGAGCCTAAAGATAAACACTCGTGCGTTCCTAGAAAGGCTCGGAGTTCTCATACGTATACTACATCGACGGCATGAATCTGGGCCTGATGTACGCGTAGATCGTGAATCTCGTTCGTTGTACGATATGCACGCGGGATCATGAGCGTTGCCCTATAACCAGAATGACTCTTCCGTAAATATCATACTTTAAGGGCAACGCCTCAAAGTATGTCGCTCTCCGATGACCGAGTAAGTCCGGGGCGTAAGAATTCCGTCATTGAGGTTGGGAGGGGTGTGCAAGGTCGAGCTTCAATCATTGTTCAAAGATAACACATCAGCTGTGTTTCAGCGTTTCTCAGACCTTGCATGTTTTCAGCAGTTATGATCGTCAGACGCGGCCCAATTCCATTCTCTCGTTGGCGCGACAAGGGGTTTTCTATCGACGGGCACGGTCTGGAGTCATGATGGTGCAGCGGGTAGTTCGAGTGAAACTCGAAGTTCATCGCACTATGAATTGGGGGTCTCTCTGAATCCTGGCTCAAAATGATTGACCAGCCTGGAAGGGCGCCGGTCACCTCCGAGTATAACTCACGCGCTCTACAAGGGAATGTCTTCAAGTGGAAATGTCGCAATCATTGAAACCTCCTTGTTATCGATCCTGCCGAGCTTAACTTCGAGCTAGAGGCGGCTGGCAGTCTCAGTAACTCGTCGATGCTCTCACGTCTGTGAAGAACGTAGCCGTTCCGCAATGTTGTACGGGGTGAGCGAGTTTTCTGCGTGCATTTACAATTACCTCGTGGGCTGTATCGAACGTTGATTGTCTTCGCTAAAGGCCGACGATCCCCCGACCCCGGGGAATCAGGAAATGTTGAACGGGTCAGGGTATACATACTCCAATGCACTCCTCCCGCGATTCGGAATGTGCCTCTCCGACCATATTAGTCCGCATCTGAGCAGGACCAGAATGAGATACTTCTGGAAGCTTTGTCCCTTCGCGGAAGGATAATTCCCAAGACCCATGAGCCTCACACTACAATGGTAGCATTGCACATATCGTGATAACTCGACCGGGAAGGAGGAAAGAAGGTCCATCGTCGAGCGGATCGGACTTCGTTCGCCGGCCGAGTTAGACTTTCAACAGCAATGACTCCGAAAGCTGAAATCGGGGTCAAGCAGATTTTCAAGAGCGACAGCGTACAACAACTCGAGGGCTCTACATCGCTCTAAGGGTCGCCAGTCCACTGTGGAAAGGATGATGTTGGTATTGAACGGAATTTCCGATTGCTGACAGCTCCCCGCAGAACTCGGATATCGATACCGTTGTCCACAGCGGGTAATCTCAGTCGACGAAGAAATCGGGTGATGCAAAGTTTTTTCTACATTCAATAAATAATTGATTGAGGCTCGCATCGGAATCCTTCTGTAATGATCACAGTTCTGAATACATGACTGCCGTGAAAAGTTCTTTGGCTTATCGAGCCTGGCCGCTCAGAATTCTCGGACACCGCTTCGGCCGCTTGCAGTCACGTTTTTTTTCGCTCATTCAAAGAGGCGTAAGCGAGCGGACGGTTCCGCGTAAGTGTGTCTACGCGGGTTAGGGGTACAGCCGAGCCCACGACCATGAGCTAGCGAGCCAACCGGCCGCCCGGCCGACCAGCAGGCTTGCCTGACATTGCGATGGCGGCCGCTTCTCGTCGAGCTCTTCGTAGTCTCAAGGGCTCTTCAGTTGCTCCGGGAGTTTGGGGTCTTCAGCAGAACCAACCGACAACTGAGCGACCAACGAACCAAGCAAGCAAGCAAGCAAGCAACCAACGAATCAACGAATGAAAGACCAGCAGCAGCGGGTCAGGGAGCATATTGCTCAATTCCACCGCTAGCCACCACATGAGCGCACTCTGGGATAGAGTCAAATACACGTATGTACTCAAGTATGGAGATTTCGTTCAGCAATTTTGACCCTGCGAGGCTTCACTGAATCTTCTCCCTGTATTTGTTTTGCTGTTGCAGTCACGGTTCATCGGACTGTGACTTTGAACATTGCATCGAGTCCTGCGCGGTCGGAATCGACTCTGTCATCCTCCCTCGATTCTCGACAATTTTCCTCGCCATGAGCCGACTGAATAGTCAGGTATAAGTCAGCACAATTTTCCTCCATCCTCCAAGTGGCCGGGATCCAGAAACTCACCGGCGCCACGACCTCCGCGCAGCGAAACGATCAATCCTTATAGAGAAGGGATCGAAGGAAGAACGGCCGCCTCCGGCTCGCGATATCCGGCCGACTCCGGAAATCTCGGAGCCATCGAGCTCGAAGTGACTCTCTCAGCCGCTTCTCCGACGCTCGAGATGAATTTTCGCCTCACGTGCATTTTCAATGCTGTCATATGCAAGGATTTGTATCTGTATTGCAGGCAAAAGGGTTAATGCGATGGCGAGCCTCT